ATAGGAAGTTCCCGAATCGCGGAGAAAGGTTCCTGTTTAGAATAAACCCAGTTTGGAAGTTCTAGTATCTGAAAACGCACCAGCAAACCGGCCCGAGTGATTCACTCGGGCATTCCTCCGCAGAAAAGGATAGGGACACTTTGTAACCCTATCCTCTTGGGTTTGGGTTACATTATTGTATCTAGCGGCTGCGTTGATTGGCTGCAGCAAGTTTAATGTACAGACTGGCTGCGAAACTGCTTTTGTTCTCATCGCGGGTGAGTCATGTTAGACGGACCCTCTCTCTTGCTGTGCGCTCGTCGATCTGTATTGCCTAGCGGGATGCGGGTTCGTCTATAACTGGGCGAAGTGGCAGTGGATTTCATTATGGCATGCATAGATATTATGCTTGCTGCTGCGCTGCAGCCAATCAGCGCAGCCGCCAGCGATTGGGCTTGCCGCCGCCTTCAGATGCAGCATGCGAAGGATCATTTCGCATGTATATTTGAGGAATTTCTGTGATTTGAGCGCATTGTGGTGGGCCGATTGTCAAAAATGGCGGGTGTAGCTTACAGCTTCGACATCCCAACTCGTTTTGACGGTCCCCCCCAATGTGCTGAATATCGTGACCGTACGTCGAGCGGTTGGACGGACGGACGGACAGATGGAAGGACGGACGATCATGCGATTCTACAAGCTGCATCTGACTATGTCAGATGAGCTAAAAAGGTGCCGAAGGCAGCTTATGCGGCAGCTTATGCATCTGAGCAGGAATTTTGATGTCTCGAATGCAAGATGGAATTCCAAATTTTTAAGCAGAAAATTATCTTTTATGTGTTTTCCCTTTTTGGGGTAAAAAAGGGGGGTCCGGACCCCCTGGACCCCCCCCCCTCTGGATACACATACCACATACAACTGAGAAACAACTTTACGGAAATAAAATCTGTGATAGTAAAGAGTATATTATGTAAGGGGTGGGGGTCTGGGGGCCCTCCCCCAGGAAATTTTTGAAAATCGGGTCACCTGAAATGTAAATTCCTGCATTCTGAGAAGGATACATACAATTCTGGATTCAGAAAAATGAAAAGCCCTCAAAAATAGGAAAAAATAGGAATTTGTCCAGAAAATAGGAGAAAATAGGAAAAAATAGGAAAAAATAGGAAAAAATAGGAACTTGACGCCCTGCTCACTATGTACCATATATATAAGAACCTCTTCAGCCTGAAACAGAAAATCACGAGTTCTTTTATGCGGGTGTTTACTGTATTACATGATAAGAGATGCACAACAGTCAGTGTGCATCCGATTCCCGTGCCAAAAAAATGTATCATTTCCTGTGTTGTTTGTACATACGTACAGGATATAGGGTTTGGAGTGTATCGAGACAACAGCACGCTGACGATGTCTGATGCAGAGGTGCTGCTACCTGTGACACGCTGCAACTCTCACCAGATGGCCATTGCCGGGCAGTTGAAAACAGAAACAATGGGAATCTACACTTTACTCTTTGACAACAGATTTTCTCGGTATGTGTAGAGTAATGTTTCAAGGGGGGGGGGGGCACAATTGGCTTTGACATTTTAACTGAACATTTATTATGTTAGAACAATAGTAATAATGTTAGGCATTTTTAGGCAATGCAATACTAATGTAATTGCTACAGCAGTTTAGCTCGTTCAAGAACTAAAGTGAATTTTTTGTTTTGTAGGTTCACATCCAAGAAATTGAGTTATAAAGTGGAAGCTGTAAAATAAGGTTCCTGTTTTGTTACTGCTACAGTTTACCATTTTAGCATCTACCAATGCAACTTTATGTTTTGGGCGTAGTGAAGCAGTTGTATAAAAGTGAACACTACTGTTGTTAAACTTTTCGCAGTGGCTACGCGTCCGGAACCGGTCGCCTAGCCTCCAGGCTACGCACCCGGAACCGGTCGCCTAGCCTCCAGGCTACGCGTCCGGAACCGGTCGCCTAGCCTCCAGGCTACGCATCCGGACATCCACTCACACAGTGATCGCGCAACTCACGTACACGCATGATTGCGCAACGGGACGCTCTGCTGATTGCCGAAAATATACAATATATGCACTGCTGCCGTCTATCTTTTCATCTGTCCTCTCTCGCTCTCTCTCTTTCTCTCGCTCTCTCTTTCTCTCACACACACCTCTAGCTCTCTCTCTCTCTCTCTCTCTCTCACGCATACACACACACACACACACATACACATTCCCTCCCTCTCTCTTTCTCTCTCTCACACACACACACACACACACACACACACACACACACACACACACACACACACTCGGCAATCAGCAGAGTGTCCCGTTGCGCAATGATGCGTGTACGTGTCGCAAGATCACTGTGTGAGATGGTTGTCCGGATGCGTAGCCTAGCGGCTCCTCGTCCGGAACCGGTCGCGTAGCCACGGCCTAAACTTTTTCATATAGACACTTATTGGGCAGATGTGTGGAACGCTGTAGGCCAGTTTCTATAGAAACCTGATGTTTTCAATACGATAAACAATGTTTTAACATAGTTACAACTATTTTTCCTAAATCTAACCAAATTTTAAAATGCTAATCGTGTATAAAATACATAGTAAATCTTCGTTTTTAGCTCAGCTGACGAAGTCAGGTGCAGCTTGTAGAATCGCATGACCGTCCATCCGTTATCCGTGTGTCCGTGTGTCCGTCAACAGTTGGGCACAAATCTTAACCGCTCGACGTACGGTCACGATATTCGGGACGTCGGGGAGGGGGGGATCGTGAAAAGGACTCGGGATGAACAATTTGGGGGTCAAGGGTCAAAGGTCAAGATGTGTCAACGAAGGGAGAATATTTCCCCCTTAATATTCGGTGTATAGTGTGATGGGCAGGAAACCCATCACCAGTGCGAAATTGGAGGTCACATGTCAAAGGGCAGTGGGGGAAAGGTCAGATATCAGACATTTTCTGAGGACATGGCCTAATGGACAGAGTGAAAAACATTTTTGTTTCAGCGCTGACCTACCATTTTTATCACTTTATTGAAAGGACCATGAAGTGCTTTCCACTGACGTGCGAAGAGTGAGTGTCTGATAACCTTTTGACCCTCAAGAGGAGGGTTAAACATGGATTTGTTGACTGTTAACAAAGAACTGAACTGTGTTTGATGGTACTTGTGTGATCGTGGAATACTTAAATTTCACAGTGAAATTCTGCATGCAAAACTTGCTTGAACAACGTTTACGCACCTTAAATCATATGAATGACATTAGGGACAGTGCATCTCCCAAGTCCGACTCAGGGGAGAGATAGTGATCCGCTAGATGGCGCATTATTAATTAACAATTAATAAAATCAGTTAACCCTAATCCTAACCCTATCCCTAATTCAAAATAATAATAATAATCACACACACGCCCTCTAGGGAGAGAATTCGGTACCTTGGGAGACGCGCTGTCCCTAGTCGCAGCCAAATCATATATGAACTTCATTCTCTATATGAGATTCTGTACGTTGGGAATAGGCCTACAATGTCAATAGCACTTACGTCTGTTTTTGATTAATGCCAACTATAAATAGGCCTACCTCGCAGGTGGGTGGCTGATAGTATCACAGCATGGGCTAAACGAAGGTAGCAACTAGTTCGGATTATCTATTCCCTGCACCTAGTCTGTCAGTATGCACGCCATCTATCGGAACAGAGTGAGAAGAATGTCCCGGCAGGATAGGTCAAATGTATATTGCGCTCAAAAGAGCAGAAAGAATTACTTTCTTAACTTCAGTTTAACCAATCTTGAGATAAGTAATTGCAGAAATGAATCGTCAAACCTACCAATGAAAATTTGCCAGTTTTGTACTGTCCTTGGCATGGCTCTCTCCATCGACGTTACAGTAGTGTGCAATGTCAGGATATGGTGGAGCATGCTTGCTTGTGAACGCTGCAGAGCCCGATGGTTGACTGTCAGTCGAAATGTGTTGATCCTCCCCGACATTGAAGAAACCTGTACGTTATACGTGCGTCTGCCTTACCTCTGCCCGCCATCTTAGTCGAAAGTTTGGACGCCGCGCGGCGAAATCGGATTGTACATTTCAATCGATGACGTAACTGATACAGTAGTATGCCGCGTGGGTGTTATTTGTTTATAGACAATTTAGTCTGACTGACTCTCTCCCTCTCTCTCCTCTCACCCGCTCTCTCTCTCTCGCCCCCCTCTTTCTGCAATAAAAAAATATTTGCTGAAATGACGTGTACGCAACTGCGTATCTGCGCCTAACAAAGGTTTCACTACGCACGACTGAAATGTTACGTTTATAACCGTAGCAACAGACCTCAGATGAGCCCAGTCGCTCTGCGGCTCTTGTTATATTATTATAAATAACCTAACCAATGTTTTGGTTGTTAATTCATATTTTGTGTAAAACCAAGATGTTACTTAAATATGATAGATACTTGTATGTATAATGTTAGATATTGGATGATTTTATAATTAAATTAAAAGTATGTGCAATTGTTATAACTCCTACGGAGATTCACACAAACATATATATATATATATATATATAGCATTGTTTGCAGTATGTTTTATTTACACTTATATATACCTAGTATGTGGTGAATAAGGTTTCTTATTTAATGTAGTTTTAAGACAAATATGAATAATTCGGATTGTACAGTAGTACAGTAGATTGTTATGGATTTGTCAATGGAGCGAAAAAATCGATGATTTTTTTCGGTTTAATGGTATATCTGAGATTTAAGTAGAATAGCTGGTTATAATAACATTATTTGTGCGTGTGATTACATAGCTTCACATCCGTCCTCGTTTTCTGACTGTTAAAATCCTTCAACTGATAATTAAAAGCATAGTGTAAACTTATACTTTGTCATCAAACTCTTATTTCTTTCTTCAATGCGTATACATAATCAAGCACGCATCAAACAAACCCTTTAATTTACAAACGAATAGACTTGCTAACTGCAGCTAACAATAAATATTTATTTGTTCATGTTTAATAATAATTCACAATGTTCACTAAAATCGCATTAGCTACTCCTGATAAAATACCAGAATCTCAGCAAAGATATATGACATTGCTAAGCTGACTTGCTAATAGAACCTCTCTGGCTATATATTTCAGAAAGAAAACTATGTGCTATGTCTATTGGAACCACTGCTTGATCAAGAATGAATCTTCTTAGCACGGACTCTGTACATACACAATCGATATCCATTCTAACAATTGATATAGCTTAGGCTGGGTATCTGCATGCTTCTATTTATCAATAGCTATTGTTTATACATTTTTTGGCTAATACGTATGCTTTTGTACGGATCACCGTTTCTTTTGGTTGGCATTTTCCATGCCTTCCTTTACAGCCTTCTGAAACCTTTCAGTGAAGGAACCAATTCGTGCCCCTGGCTTTGCCACCTCTCGCTTAAGTTGTTCTAAGGCATCTGATTCTTTGAGCTTTTGCAATGAGTCCTCTCCTAAACCACATAGACTTCGATGTAAATACATTAGCAATACTAAAACACACTTGCTATATTATGCAGTGTAATATTGAACATGCAGACTAATAATACTATGATGCGAGCCTTGCTTTAAGGATACTCTCAAGGTTTTAGGCAAAATTTTACCGATTTTTCATTTTCCACTTTATTCGATGGCTAACGTGTGCCACCTCTGTATATGCTCATTTATCCATATAACGGTACATGTGAACTTTTAGAGCATTTTGATTGCCGCGTACACGTGTAGTGAGCAGCAGCTGACGTTACTGATGACGTCAGAGACATGATACAACCAGAATTTTTATGATATTCACTATGCCAGTATCATTCAGCATCAACCCTCCTACAGCTGTCATCTGCCAGTGATAGTTGAAATTGCCACGCGACTGAAAATAGCCCCGTTTCCCTTGTATTTAGGCGCGTGTTTGTTGACACATAGCTTAGTAACGGCATGCAGTACACATCGTACACGCGTTTTGCATGAAAGTGCGGTGTTAACCTCGTAATTTCTCACAATTTCTCAAGGTGCATGGAACATATTACCAATTTAGTGGTGTCTGTTAGTCATGGATATGTCACAGTAAGTACTAACAGTAGATGTTTCACATACGTTCACCCATTTTGCACA